CCTCTCTGTACAACAGAGCAGCCTCCTGGTGTGATGCTCGAGACTGAATAAGCAAGGCCTGAAGTGCTTAGCTCAGCCTCGACCACTGTGCACATTCAATCCAAAATGCTCATGACCATCACTGTTGTTGAATGGCACCGCCTTACTCACATATTTTTCTGGCTGCCCACTGCCGAGGGACAAAGTTCAGACTGCTCAGCCTGGTGGACAACCCCACACACAGCCCAACTTTTCATCTTTCTCTTCCACTCCTTCCTGCCATGAGGCCTCCCTCCAGGTCACTGCTCTCGCTCTGAGGCAGCCTCCACCTAATGCTAAATCCGGGGGGGCATTCACAGGTACCTCATGTGGCTGACCTTGCCTTTAGGAAACCCTGTCCTCCCTAACTCTCCCGGGTCCCTCCCTTCACTCAGGCTGCTCTTTCTGAGACCCCCTTTCCTCTGGGTGTCATCCCCACCTCCTTCCTGTAACAAAAACATTCTCTGAGCTTCTCCGATTCTGGGACCCCTCCTTTCCCCCAGCACACATTCCCTGGGGCAGTTTCATCCTCCCTCCTGTGACCTCAAATTCCAGGGGAGTTGCTGACAATGTTCCAGTCTTCCTCTCCTGCCTAGACCTCCCCCAAGCCCCAAACCTGAGACCCCTGAACGACCCACTCGACACCTTAAAGCCATCCAGACTAAAGCCAACGACCCCTTCCCCCAAACCTCTCCCTTCTGCTTCTACCCTGTGACTCAGAGCCTGGGCCAGAACCTGGGGCTCCTCTCTGACTCCCCTCAGCCCTGTCCAATCAGTCTCCTTTCCTTGCCTCCTCGTCCCCCCAGAGCAGCTCCTGCCTCCTGCTCTGCTGTCTGCCCTGCAGGCAGAGTTCCACCCAAAGAAGGGGTGCTGTCAGCCCCTTGCTTAACCCTTCAGTGAAGCCAACCACCTGTAGCAAGGGCTGCCAGACTCCCCTGGGTTGTTTGTTTAAATCGTTGATTCCTGAGCCACAGCCCCACCTAGGTCTGAGCTAGGCCCAGAAATGTGCATGTTAACAAGTACCACAGGGACTTGTCAGGAGGGTGGGCAGGCGGACAGCATCAAGAGAAACTGCCTGACTCCAAGCCTGGCTGGTGGCTAGCAAGACCCCAGGATCTGCGCCCACCTATCTCCTCAACCCTCAGCTATCGCCTCTACACCCTCAGTGTACACTCCTACCTTCCTGAACTCACCTGTCCCCAGAGGGGCCCTCTCTCCTTCCTCTGGGCCTTTGTCCACACAGTTCTCTGGGCCTGGGGCTCTCTTGCCTTCCACTCACCCCCTGCCCACCTGGCAGCAACTTCTGTCCTTCAGAAAGCAATATGAGCATCTCCTCCTCCAGGCTAGGGCAGGCACTGTTCTCAGACACCACACCCTCTACCCCCAGTTCTGTGCTTACACCATCACAGCTTAGAATACCACATACACCCCCATCCCCTCCACTCCACAACCCCCACGTTTCAGGTCCTTGAGCATAGGGATGTCTGTTCTACTCATGCCCATGTTCCCAGTGCCCAGCCCATGCCTGGAATAGACTGGTGTCCAGTAAATGATTATTGAGTGAATGGCCTAGATAATGTAAAGAGTGGCTCTGCCATCAGACCACCTGCGCTCAGAGCCCAGCACCTCTCCTGTCCAGGAGGAGCCTTGGGCAGCCTCACTCAGGCTCAGTGTCCTCACTTGTGAAGTGAGTCATGACACCTGCTTCAGAGGTTATCGTGAGGATGACACATTGTACAGACAGTGCCTGACTCAGCTAAGTGCCACTGCCCCAAATGTGCCATGCAGGTTCTTGCTGTGGGAGCACAGCCAGTAGCTTGGAGCCCTCAGGGGACCAGGACCAGCATGTAACTACCTTTGTGTCCACTCCCCAACACCTCACAAAGGACGCCCATGCTGAGTGCAGGCCAGAGCCTTTGCTCATAGTGGGGACACTGAGAATCCTGCCTGAAAATTTCCTGGCCCATTCACCCTGCTCCCCAAGTTTCAGGCTCAGCTAACACAATGCCCCTTACACAAAGCCCTCCAGGACCTCCCTGGGCCCCTATAAGATCTCTGGTCTCTGTCCCAGAGCCCAAGGTGTGCTAACATGTGGCAATCTGTCCAGGGACTCCACATGTGGGAGGCCCTCTCCAAGCCATGGCCTTCTCCAGGAAACACTTTCTGACTTACCACCTAATTCAGCTCATCCTCGTCACATCTTGTAATTAGCTCTTTCACCTGTGTTGCTTGGCAGGCATGCTTAGGTCACTTTTCAGCAGGGTGACAAACTTACCTCAGTTTCTCCAACACCCTCCCAGTTTTAACATGCACATACTGGAACAGCTGGTCACCCTACCTTTTAAACACCGGCATATGTGTGTGTATAATTAATATATTAATCCTTTCTACTCCAAGTCCTCCAAACCAAGCCAGCTGTCTCATGTCTTAGCCAAGGTCTCCCTTCCCCCTAATCCATGGTTCTCCCTCCCACCAAGGTCTACTGAAGTCTTCAGGGTAATCAGCAGCCTTGGGGCCCTGCCTGAAGGCCAGTATGTAAGGCCTGAAACCCTGGCCTTTGGGTGGGGGGATGGGAGGTGGAGAGCAGGCTGAAAGAACAGCCTGGCATAGCTCCACCAGAGCTGCAGCTACTGGTGAGGAGGGCATGGCGAGGAGGCTAAAGTTATAGAAAACCCTGAGAAGAGACAGGAGCCTTGAGGTGAAAACTCTGGAGGACAGTAGAGACAGAGGAGAAAGAAGGGGAGATGAGGGGCAGGACAAAGTCATCCTGCAGGTAGACATAAGCTCCCTGAAGGGCTTGTGGACCATCTGCCACTGCCCACTGCCCATGAGGCAAACATTCTTCTCTCGAAGAGCGGGGAGCCCTAGACGGAGGTGGCAAAGCATGAAAGAAGAGTCCAATCTAGATGGGCTGGGAGTCCCTTCTCCATTGGAGATCCAGAGCGCTTTTAAAACCTAAAGAGGCAGGACTTCCCCTCAGGACTGGAGCACCAGATGAATACGGTAGAGGGAACCAGATGACATTGCTTACCTTTAGCAAGTGTTGGGCTGTGTAGAAGCCCGCTGGGCCACTGCCCACCACACAAATCTGGGGGCTCGGCTCCTGTGTGGAGAACTGCTGGCAGACGCCTGGGAGAGGGGGGAGAGGGAAGGTCAGATCAACACTCCCCCTCCAATCCCAAACCAATGTCTTTGTAGGGTAGAAGACGGAATTTCACCCTCATCCTCCCCTCCTTTTCTGTTTCCTCAAAGCTTTGGCATTTGCAGGGTCTCTTACTTCATCTGAACTCCCAAAGGCTGTCTTCATCCTGAGCCCCACATCTCACCCATGAACTTACCACGCCGCTGAAGACGGCCTGCTCAACAACCCCTGCCAACCGGAAGCCGCTCTGCACGGAACTTCATTTTTCTTACTGGGTTCCCTACCTATCCAGCTAGAATACCATATCCTCCAACGGACACCGTATCATCCCAATCCCGCCCCTGTGGATCTCCCCACAATGCTCTATTTTCCCTCTTCTGGACCCTCTCTCTCCACAGAATCCTATATTGACCATACAGAACCTGACTCATGTCTACAGACTTTTGTCTCAACTCGGACTTCCCTCTTGCCGTACAGATCTCCGTATCACCCCCCATTCACCCCTTCTCACACCTGTGGATATCACGGCTTCCCCTTCTCACCTTTGTTGATCCCTGGCTCACCTAGGGGCCTCACATCTCACTGCACAAGCCCCATCTGCCCTGGTACACGACCCCCAGCTCGTCAGCAAGAGTGGACCCCTGCAGTCTCGCCCCTGGTCCCCTCTCTCGCCCCTCTGCAGCCCTGCCCCGGCTCCGCACTTAGCTTTCGCGGGCCTCCCAGTGCTCTCACCCAGCCCTAGAGGTGCCCTACTCCTACTGCTACTGCCGGCGGAAAGCGGCCGGGTCCCAGGGCACGCCGACCAGTGCCACCAGCGCCAGCAGCGCAGAGCCATGGCCGGGAAGAGCAACCAGCCATCCGATCTGATCCAGGCTCGGGCCCCGCCTCCCACTCTCCGGGGAACCCACAGTGGCGGCCCCAACCCCTCCCTAGAAAGAATCCGCCCCCAAAAGAGAAGCCCGCCCTCGGACCCACCCCCTACAACTGAGTCAGCTCCAGGACTTCCGGACCGTACGCGATACTCCCTCCAATTATCTGGAGGGTAGAGTTGGAGGAGAGCAAATCCTCACCGCTGTTTCAATCCTCTGATGGAGGGAGCCAATTAGAAAGGAGGTTACTTTACTTAGCCTCTTTCTCCTGGCTCTCGTCGCTCTCTGATGACGAAAGTGCCTTTCTCTTTTGAAAGCCAACTTGCAAGCCCGGGTTTCGTCTCAGCCACTCAGGGGCCACGTTCCAAGCGAGCCTCCCCGCCCATTGGACAATAACCATGGAGTCCGGAAGTGTGGGAAAAAGGGAGTCTCGCCGGGATCTTTAACTCCCCATTCATCTACTCGGGGCATGTTACAGGGGTGAACCGGCAAGATACTGTCTACATAGCGCCAGGGAGGATTTTAAACCTTAGAAATCCTGTCCCGCTTCACCCTCCTCCCCTTTACGTAGATGAGGAGACGGAAGGAGAGGCTTCTCTCGTACTAAGGACCGAGCCCTATCTCCCACCCTGTCCAACGGGGCTGAAACTAGGGTGAGGCGAATGAGGCACTGGCCTCTGGTGCAGAATTAAAGGGGCGCCAAAAGCCTCAGTAATCAAGGTAAATATTTTAATGTAGGGTTTTAAAAAATCAAAATTAACCCGTGGTGAGTAAAAAATATTTTTATAAATGACAGGAAACATGGTCAATAAGCTTAATGCCAGCTTCAGCTTCCTTTTCTGCCAAAGACCCTCTCGTCAAACACTTTCTTGCAGAAGTCTTCTCTGACCCATCCTCTCCCAGACTGAATTAGGACCCCTTCTTGTCTCCACAGCACTCGGCTTTAGTTCATCATTACTTACAATGGCTTATCATTTCTAATCATCTTTTTTATTGAAGTATAACAAAACAGAGAACGGCACAAATCATAAGTTTACAGTTTGATGTGTTATACCATGTAGCCACTACCCAGATCAAGAAATAGAACATGTGCCCCTCCTAGTCACTTCCTTCCCTCCCACTGAGAAGTAAACACTGTTTTGATTTCTAATAAGTATTGTGTTTTGTGCTTGTCCCACTAGACCAGGACTAGGCTAACCATGGCTGGCAAGCTAAATCCTTCCCACCACCTGTTTTTGTACTGCTCACAGCTAATAGTCTTTACATTCCTAAATGGTTTAAAAAACATTTTTTTAAGAATAATATACTGTGACATGTGAAAATTACATAAAGTTCAAAAACATTTTATTGGAACACTGTCCATGTTTATTTCTTTACATATCACATACAGCTGTTTTTACACTTTGACGGCACAAAGTGCTGTAAGTAGTTCTGGCCAAGACCATATATATTACCCACAAAGCCCAAAATATTTACTCTCTGGCTCTTTACAGAAAACGTTTCTCAACCCCTGCACCAGACTGTAAGTTCCATGAGCCTGGGGTCCAATCTCATTTACTCTTACATCCCCAGAGCTTTGCACAGTGCCTGGCCCACAAAGGATGTTCATAAAGAATTTGTCTTAATGATCAAGTCATCTATTAGCCTTTCATGCAGCGGGAAAAGAAGATTCAGGCTCAGACCCCCAGAAAGGCCTATAGGGTTCTCCACCCAGAGGGAATATGTCTGGTGGTTAAGAGCATGGATTGTGGAGTTGGACATACAGGTTTGAATCCTTCTGCCACTTACTAGTTATATGACATTGAGAAATTAAATTTCTCCAAGCTTATCTTCATATGTAACGTGAGGGAACAAACAGTACAAACTTGTCAAAATTAAAAGTAGATGATGTACGTACAAAATTTGCCATTAAGTTCTAAATAAAATGTTAGCTTCATCATCACCAATAATATAACCTCCCAGATGCCTCTGCATATTAGACCTTAGGTCTCTGCAGAGCCTCAGGAGGGCTTCATTCACTCCTATCACCTCGCCGTTTCACGTCCCATGCCTCCCCAGCCCACATCCTCAGACGAACAGAAAATTGAGCCTCAAAGCAATCAAGTGACTTGTTCCCCGGTCCTGTTGTATAACCTCGTCTGGTACTAGGGCCTCTGGCTGCTGCTCATTCTCCACTCAGGCCCATATCAATAACAATGAGTCATTGGTTATGTATTAAGATGGTTTTAATCATTAGCCAGGACTATGCAGTGGGGCCTTTTCTGACATTGCATTTTTCATGTGGAGAATTAGCAGTTTGATTAATCACAGCCCCAGATCTTAAGGCCATTTCTGAGCTGCTAATGCATTTCAAAAAAGCAGCAATAACATATAGCAAAACAGCAGTCTGGGGAGGCTGCCAAGTCTGCCTTGTTTCAAGAGGGGCTTGGATCCAAAACTCTCAGCCTCCCAGCAAGAAACAGGTGGCATATTCAAAGGGGCTGACTGAGGAGAGTTTAATGAAGGAACTCTGTGCAGAGGTGCGAGCAGGATTAAGGGAATGGTGAAGCACCCCTGGGCTAGCAGCAGCTGGAAGCCACCACCACCCCAGACCCTGAAGGAACAAAAATGGGGAGCTGTTTCGGAAGTAGTGAAAGTTTTTGCTGTAGGAGAGGGCGCTGCACTGGAGCTGGGCTCATTGGTAGAGGAAGGCAGGATGGAGAAGAGTGGGGCATGGGTGTGGAGGGGCAAATGGCAGCTCTCCTACAGAGGCACACCACGATGGGTCCTCCAACAGGAGCAGGCTCAGAGGATGCCTTCCCCTGTCATCTAACCCCTCTGCCTATCCTGATAGCTGGCCTTTAGCCTCCTTACCATCAGGGTCAGCATGCCCTCCACCCTGCCCAGGGACTTCACTGAAAAACAAAGCAGTTATGCACTCAGAACATGGCTTGCATACTCTCAACTGGTGGCATTTTGCCCCCTGGGGGGTATTTGACAATGTCTGGAGACATTTTTGATTGTCACAACTTGAGCTCCTAGCATCTAGTGGGTAGAGGCCAGGGATGTAACTAATCATCCTACTGTGACCAGAACAGGCCCCAGTGACAAAGAATGACCCAGCCACAATGTCAGTGGGGCTGAGACAAGAAACCCTCGTACAAACAGACTGCCTGGCCTCCTTCTCTTTCCCTCGCTCTGCCCCTAGCTGGGCCCTTCCTTGCTTGCTCTCATCCAGCGCCTCCCAGCCCTCTCCCTAGCCTGCCCACTGTGGCTGACTCTCAGTGTGTCCCCCAGCACCCTGGCTCCCTCCTCTGGCTGGCATCGTTAGTTCCCCTATATTCCCACCTGTCCTAGGCTGCAGATTCCTTCACAACCAAGCCCAGTCCTTGACTGCAAGCTCTCATGTCTGCACTCCACCCTCCTTCCTCTCCCTTCTAAGGCCATTTGTCCCACAGACCCAGTTCCCATCACCTCCCTGCAGCCGTGGCTACGCTTCCAGTAAGTTTTCTCTCTCTCAATTGGTAATTATTCTAGGTCCACCCTTTCTAAACATCATAGAACAAAGCAGACTTTTTCTAGAGCTAGCCAAGGTCATGCTCAAAGCTGTTTATATTCTTTTTTCCCTTATTTCCCTGGAGTGCTTTCCCCACAGAACATACATACTTTGTCTCTCTCTGATACTGTGGGTCTTGGCTGCTGCTGAGCCAGTGTCTTGAACAGGTTTCTATGGCTGAGAAACTAGGAAGGTCTGCAGTAGTCCCTGGGGAGAGGGTCCCTGTGGTCCCTGGGGAGAGGGGTCCTTAAGGGACAGAGCCTCAAAGGGCACAGGAAGATGCAGTGGCCAACCAAGTGGGGCTCTCCTGGCACCAGGAAGGCTCTTGCTAAGGGGCTGGCCCTTCTCTCTCCTAACCCGCCCCCTGCACAAGGCCTCTCCTTATCCCATCACCTTCCCTCAGCCCTACCAAGGTTCAGACAGAGCAGGGGAGAAATTTGACTATTTGTCCTGAGAGGAAGTTGACCAAGGTCCAGAGTCACCAGCATGTCCAGCCACCTTTATTCCTTTCCTCCGCACATCCTTCAAAACCCAGAGAAACAAGCAGGGGAGTCACCCGGAGCTCTCTGCCTTGACGCCCACCCAGGGCCTCCATGCTCCAGCAACCAAGCACACCCACCGGGGAAGGGCCCCAGACATGGCCAACAGAAGCAAGAAAGCCAGGGTTGGGCCGGGGAGGGGGCACAGGGTGACAGTGCCAGCCCACCCCTCATTGCAGCCCCACCAGCTCAGTGATGGGAGGGGTCTGCACCATAAACTCCTCGTAGCGACTGAGAAACAGGCGGAAGCGAGCCAGGTAGGAGTCCTCGTTGTATGGCAGCTGCTTCTCATGGAGGAACTGAGACACCACGGGCTTCACCTGTCAGAAGATAGGCGGGAGGAGGCGCGGCTGAACCAGGCCTGGGGGCAGGCCCATCCCTCCGGGGCCTTTCCTCCACCCAGCCCCAGCTCCGGCCTGCCTTGTTCCTGGCCTGCCTTGTTCCTGGTGCTCGGGAGGAGCTGAGGAGCCAGGAGACTTCCTGCCTCTCCCTTCTGGGAGTGCGTGGGAAGTGGGGGCTTCTCCCAGCCTCCTGTCCCGGGCCCCCGGCAGCATGACAGCCTTCTTTGGCTCCCTTTTACCAAGCACCTGCTATGTGCCCCACATTTCAGATCCATTTCTCCATTTCCTCCTCAAAGCCTGTCCATGGAAGCACTGCCTACTCCCTTTTTACAGATGAGGAAGCTGAGGCTCAGGAACATTCAGTTAACTTGCCCAGAGTCGCAATGCTAGTAAAAAACCCAGATGTGTCTGGTCAGAAAGCCATACTGCTGCTTGAACGGTAAGCTGCCCTCCCAGGGTACCCCTGACCAGGCCAGATGGGGACCTGGGGTTCAGGTGAACCTGAAGGTTACTCCAGCTCTGTCCCCCAGATAGATCCTTCATCCCAGCCCCTCCAGTGCGCCCCGCAGCTACCTTCAGGCACATGTTGTCCGAGAGCCTGGGGAAGAGGTGGTGCTCCACGTGACAGCTGATGATGGAGTGGCCGAACGCCCAGTCCAGCACAGGCAGCCGTGGCAGGTTGAGCACACCAAGGCTCATCATGTGAATCCGTCGGGGCTTCTTGTCCCGGGAGAACATGGGCAGCCCAATGTGCTGTGACGGACACGTGGGTCACACTCCGGGACTGGGCCGGGCACCCTGGGCCTCCCCACCCTGCCCCAGGCCTGCTCACCGAGCCACTCAGGGATTAGCAGGTTCTTCTGCCTCCCTACTCCCACTCTGGAGGGACATGGCAGAGGTGTGAGGAGGATGGAAGTCTCCTGTGTGTGCCCTGAGCTCAGCCTCATCCATCTCTGGGTCTCTTGCCACATCAGTACAAGGAGGGGTGTGGTGTGGGCACCCCCCAGCACCCACCATACTCATGAGCCTGTGACTGCCCACCGCTTACATTCATGTCACTATGCCACTGCCTCGTCCTGGAGAGACACTTCTCTGCTCTCTGTTCACCAAAATCCTGCCCATCATTCAAGATCAAGTTTGCACATCCTCATGTATTTTTTCATTCCACAAGTATGGATCAATGCCTCCTCTCCAGGTGCTGCCCTAGGTCTAGGGATGCAGCAGTGAACCAGGTCTTCCCTTCTAGCAGGACAGGCAGATGGGACACACCTATGGGATTTAAGTCATTACTGGAAGTGTGGTAAGTGCTGGGAGAGTGACATGCAGGGTGCTCTAACCTGGAGCCTTCACCGGTCCAGAGAACAGGGAGGCATGCCTGTGGAAATGGCCCTGGAACTGGGTGCTGAGCCCCTGGCCTCCCACAAAGACCTCCTGTTTCTAGCTCCTCCATCTGCCTGCCTCGTACCACGTGGCCTGCCCTGGGGCCTCTTGATGGCCCTTGTTTCACTTGGGCTTATCAAAGTAAGTGTTCTGAGAGCAGGAGCTGGGGTCCTAGGTTACGTGTGTCCCCTCAGGGCTTATCAAGTGCCCGATGCATAGAAGGTTCATAAATTTTCGATCCCAATGACAGTGAGTGAGAAAGAGAAGCGAATTCCTTACCTGAGACCAAAACGTTCTGTGATGACCCACGGAGGGAAAAGAATGGGGGCAGTTGGGGAGGTAGGGGGAGGCTTCCTCCAGTGGCTTCTCTCGCCCCAGAACCTTGAGTCAGGCCCCTGGAGGATGTTCCCCACACGTCCCAGCACCCAGGGTCAGAAGGCCTCACCTGGAAGATGTTGACGTGGAGGTAGGGGTGGGCCAGCAGAGATCTGGTAATGAGCATGCAGACCAGGGCCGAGCCAGGACTCTGGAAGTCAGACATGTTCAGAAGCAGCCAGTAGTGAGAATAAAGGCCCAGGGCAATCAGGGCCAGTGTCCGCAGAGCTGTCCTGAGCTCCACCTCTCTTAGGCGCTCTGAGAGCAAGGACAAGAAATAGAGGGGGTGAGCAAGGTTCAGCCAACATAAGCCGGCTCCCTAGCAGCTGGCTCAGTGGTGCTAACTAGTATTTGTCCACACACAGCCCTGAAAAGTAGGTCCACCCGTTTTGTGAATGAGGAAAAGGAGTGTTTAGCAGCTTGACCAAAGCCACTCTGGTAGTAAGAGGCGCCCTGCTCCTTCCCCCACATGATACTGAGAGACCACGGGTTTAGGCAGAGTAGGGTGAGGGCCTCCGGAAAAAAGGCAAAGCAAGATAATTACAGTCAGAACAATGTAACAATGTGCAAAGAAGTCCCTGTGGAAACTCCGTGTTAAGCATTACCCAAAGTCAGAGTCACATGGATTCTCTCGGGTAAAGATACCAGGCTAGGAATATGCACATTCTTCAGTGAGATCAGTTAAAGCCCAAAAGGCCAGGAGCAACTTGGCCTGGAATGTCTGCGTGCTCCCAGATAAAGAAAAGTATCTCAGCATACCCAGTGACTTCATTATGTCAATTAGATCATGACACTGTAAAATTTACCTTAGCCTGCTACAAGGCCCAGCTTATTTTTAACTGTATTTATATGCTGTTTTTCCTTCTCTGATTCTAAACAAATAATCTGCAGACTGGGCAGAAGATTAATTTGGTAAACAATCCCAACTATAAACAGCCCAAGAAGTCAAGAAGTAAGATTCTTAACACACAGGCAATAACCCAGCCCACCTCAGGGGCAGGGCAGGTGGCCTTAACTGATAAGCTCCCAGGGGGAAGCTGCTATCCTGAGAAGGAATCAGAGCAGCAAATTTCTTCTGTTACTCATCAAAAATGAGCATTCTGGGAGCACTCAACACGTCTGCACCCCTAGCCCTTTACCCCCATTCCTAAAAGTTCTCAACTGTGCCTGAAACTCCTAGACAATACGCTAGCATGGGCTCTCTTGCCCCTTCCTGGCATGAGCCAGGAGTTTTGTCCTCGCACTTTATCTCTAAGTAAAAGCCTCTCCCTTGCTCTCCTACGTTGAGTATTTGCAAAGTTCATTCTTCGACTCCGTGAACAAGAACCCCAGTATCAACACCACTCCCATGACATTTAAAAATTATAATGTGCAATATAGTGTGAGACATTTATAAAGGGTTTTCACATCTATGACCTCATTATGTTCTCGCATCCCTTGAGGAGCCAGGTAAGAACCTGAAGCTCAGAGAGGTTTAAGCTACCTGCCTGTAGTCACCAGCCAGTAAGGGGCAGAGTCAGACTTGGTCCCAGGTCCGAGGCTCTTTCAACCCTGCCTGGCTGTCCCAGAAAATTTCTGTATGATCTTAACTCAGGGCTCTCAGCTTCCTCCACAAGCACCCTCCAGGAAATCAGGAGGGGAAGGGAGTACAGGGGCGTCCTTGCAGGGCAAAGGAAAGGTCTTTGCAGGGCCCAGCCCATGTATACTCACCAACAGCCACCAGAGGGGTTATGATGGGGATTGAGAGAGGAGCAAGGAACATGTAGACATAGCGGTTGAGGCAAGGCAGCCTCCACGTGCTCGAGTCCCCCAGGCCCAGCACGTTGGTGTAGCCGTGGTGCATCTTGACATGTCCGTACTTGGCATACTCCGCGGTGAAGGCTGTGCACACCTAGAGGAAGGAACCAGAAATGTCAGGCAGTAGAGCAAAGCAGGACCTTCAGGAGTCTCCTGAACACCCCTCCCTCCCCAGACCCTGTTTGTCCAGGGCCTTCCTGCCTGACACCCCCAGCAAATCAGCCTGGACTACCAACTCTCAGGAGTCCAGGCCCACAGAGAAGCAGCCAGCCAGAAGAACCACCTCTGGAGGTGGGAGGTCAGCCCCAACAGTTGCCACCCTGCCACTGACCACCCAGACAAGCCCGAGAGCAGTCAGAGGATGGGACAGACTGCAGGGCAAGCTCCTGGCAGTGGTTGCAATTACTCTGTGTGTCTTTCTCTTGGAAACATTTGTACGTTCACAACACGACTTTGCAGGTGAGCCTACAGCAGCAAGGGGAGGGGTGCAGGAGGTCTGGGTGGTGACGGGAGGCCATCTTCTGAACTGTCCACAAGGGCACTGAGGATGCGGGTGCCCCAGTGGGGACCGAGAGCCAACCACTCCCTGGGGTGTCTCCTCTCCAGCATGTACTCTCGGGATCCTCCGAGCTGGTTACAAGCAGCAGCAGCTCTTTGACTCCAAGAAGAGCAGTCATTCTGAATGCAAAAGAGGTGCTAAGGTGTTTCTTATGCAGATACATGCAAATGAACATGCAGATGTCAGCCTACTGCAGTGGTTTATTGGGCCAGAAGATTTTTTTTTTTTGAGAGGGCATCTCTCATATTTATTGATCAAATGGTTGTTAACAACAATGAAACTCTGTATAGGGGACT